TATGATTACATAATGTTTAATATTCACTTTTCCTGCTTTTAATGTTTACTTTTATTCTGAATTATCTGATTTTTATTCTAAATTTTGTATTACTAATGTTTATCATTTACTTTCAATCCATTATATTATTTCGTACTTCTGTTGTATTAATTTTACTACTGTTATATTAATTCTTATTTGTTTTTCCTTTTACTTCTTTAATGTTTTATCACTTCTTGTTTTTTTCTCACTTTTACAGACTTCTGTTTTTCTATCGTACTTTGTATCACTATTAACTTCTGTTCTTCTTCTGATTTTTGTTTCGTTTATGATGTTATATATAACCTTTATATTATACAAACTTCCATGTGATCCAATTCGTTATTCCTAATGATTGTGTATTTGTGTAACCTTCTTGCATCTTTGTATAACTTCTTCAATTTGTTATTTTTCAAATATTTTGTCTTTTTATAAGACCCTCCTCTGTTTGGTTGATTAATTATCCTTTTCCTTAATCCTCTGTTCGATTAATTAATTATCTTTTTTCCTTCGGTAATCAATTTATGTAAATTATTTTCTTTCATAATTTATTTGTCTTATATAATCTTCCTTTTCAGTCCGTAATATTAAAATGATTATTTCTTCTTTTATCACATGATTTTTCCTTGTAATTTTTGCTGTATATTATTGATCATTTTCATTAGTATTACTACGCCTTAATTAATGAAATTATTGACTCTACAACAGCTATTGCTATTGCTATAAGCTTCTATGTATCATTAGAATAAATTCATAATTTAAAATTTCCTGTGTTACTTTTGAAATGCATTAAATTTGATCATCATATAATATGTTTAAATTTTGCAGAAATTTTTGTTTTGTTGATCTTTGTAAATCATTTGCATTTTATTATTTTTAAATTTAATAAAAAAATTAAAAAATTAAAAAAAATAATTTTGTTTCATTTGATTTTTTTTTGTGTAGTATTAATTTATTTGTTGATCGTTTATGTTTCTATGTTATTACAATTGTATTTTGAGATCTTAATTATAAAAAAAAAATTATTTCTGTTATTCACTTATTTGTAATGATACGTTATACTAATTTATATTTATTTTTTTTTAAAGAATTTTTACACAATATTTGTTGTGATATGCTTTTTTGTTATTTTATATTTGTATTATATTGAATTTTTATTGTCTAAATTTTTATTTTTTTATGTTATATTAATTAAACTTTTTAATGATTTATAAACTTTTTCTTTAGTTATATTTTTATTTGATATTTTTGTCATTTTAATTTATTGCTTCTTTTATTATATATTAAAATTTTATTATTTATAAATTTATTTAATTTTTGAAATGTATTTTTCATTTGTAACATTTTTTAATTTCATTGATCGGTTGATCATTTTTTAATTTAATAAATTTAAATTATTTCCTTTATTTTTTGTAATACAAATTTTATTTTCATATTATTTTAAATTATTTGTAATAATATATTTATAATTATTTTTTCTATTTGAAGATTTTTTACATGATATTTTTATATGTATGCTTTTTTGCTATTTTATATGTTACATTATATTGTATTTTCATCATTTGTATTCTTTTTAAAAAAATCGTTCCTTTATTTGTTATTTTTCTTGCATATTTCTTACTTTTTTGAAAAAAAATAAAATAAATTTTTCTACTTTTTTACAATAACATACTTATGTTCAGATCATAAACTCATAAACAATATAAAATTTTATAAAAAATAAAAAGATTTTTATAAACAAATAACAAACAAATAAAAATTATTTTTTTTCTCAAAAATCTAAAAGGCAGATTATTTAATCTAAAATATTTTAAATATCTAAAACAGATTATTGATTTAATTATTTTCTTTTAAAAAGGAAAGTAAAATACATTTTGTTGAATTTTTTTTCATTTTTTAAAATTAAAAAAAATTTATAATCAAATTCTCTCTTAAATATTAAAAACACATTTTTTAATTTTAAAAAAAAAATTATTCAATATGTCAGTTTAATTATCTACAATCTTGTATATTTCAGAATATAAAGAAAAGATTTCAAGTGATTATTTCATAGAAAACATTGTTGGATTCACTAGACTCGATGAAAATAATTCAACTCAAGTTTTTAATATTACTGTTTTTTATCTTATTGAAGAATCGAAACCATCTTATATTCCCAAATTAAAAGAAGGTCTTATTATATCTATTACAAATTCAAAGTTTACGAAAAGTTCAAAAAATGGTGAAATTGATGTAAAATATATATATATTTAAAAGAAATACTTATTTTTTTATTTATTTTAATTAATTTATTAATACGTTGATTTTGTTTATTTTGAATTATATAATTTATTTTAGTTAATTTTAAATTCTGTGGTTATTTTACATATTCCTCCTGAAGATTTACCTATTTATCTGATAAATGTAGTAGGTGTAGCTTCGGCTTTTAAATCTGCTATTATCAATGAAATTAGTGTCCAGTTTGAATACATCATAATGGACTATATGTCAAAAGATAAACCAACTGAAACACAAATTACATTATTTCATCTGACTGGCAGTCATTTTACAAATCAAACAATATCTGTAAAATGTGATTCTTTAATTTTTTTTGCAGGTTCTTTAACTTTTATCGAAGATAAATTCTATTTAGAATTACATAATTTTAATTTTTTACATAGTCAACAATCTCTTGCCTCTTCAACCTCTTTCAAACAAATACCATAGTCACATTCATCAAAATCATTCTCACTAATTTTAAATTCAATAGCTCAAGCACTTCACAAAAATTCTATGCAAACCATAAAATCAACAATCCCTATACATAATAATATCAACGATCTTTAAAGTCTCCACAAAACTTAATCATTTGCAAAGAATTTTTTGTATTCGTTGATGAAGACACAAATTCTGAACTTGATTAGCAGGTTATTGCTTCTACATCTATTAGCAAAATTCAACAATCTACACCAACCATTAGCAAATACAAAACTTGCATAACTACTCAAATATAAACTATTAAAAAACCAAAACTTACTGATCTTGCGTCTAATGCTCTTGACTCTCATCATAAAGAAGATGATAATAATTAAATTTTTTGATTTTCTCATTTAAAAATTTTTTAATTTTTTTTTATTTTATGTAAATTTGTTTTTTAAATAAATAAATATATTGATCAAAAAATTTTTATGCAAATCAAAGCAAGTTTTTTATTTCAATCAAATTATTATATATATATATAATAAAAATTAAGCTAAAACAAAATATTTAAAAAACAAAATTACAAAAAAAAAAAAATACAAATAAATGCAAAAAGAAAAAAAAGTTTCGTTTTAAAAAAATACTATCAAAAAAAAAACTCAAAAACTATATAAAAAAAAAATTCAATTTTTTATAAATTTAGTATAAAAAAAAATCCTTCAATTTTTGATTAAAAACGTAAATTAACTAATAAAATTCAATCGATAATTTTTTTTTTAAACCAAATTCATTGATAATTAATTTTTTTTTTATTAAAAAAATTCAAAAATTACTATAAAAGAAAAAAATTATTTCTATAATTAAATTATAGAATATTATCTTTTTCAAATTTTAGACAAAATAGGCTATTTACCTCCCATCCAATTATAACATTCATTTAAAAAAAATTATAATCAAAATAATTTTTTTATCTTCTATATCGCTTTCCAATTCTGATTTAAATTCTAACTTTAATTCTATAAAAAAAAAATTTTATTAGAAAATTCATATTAAATATATTAATCTATACTTATAAAAAAATACATGTAGATCAGTAATGTTTAGATTACCTATATAAATAATTTTTTGAGTTAACAAGTGTTCACGATCATATTTTTTAAACTGTTTATTGTGATATTGTTTATTGTTTATATTTATATTATTTTTATTTTTATTTTATTTATTTATATTATTATTTATGTATGAAACTTTCAATTTGATCTAACAAGAAATCAGAAAAAAAAATTCGCATTTGAAAAAAAAAAATAAAAAAAAAAATACAACGCTTTTATTTACCAAAAAAATTCTTACAAACATTTCTTAAAAAAAAAGAAAAAAAAAATAAATACAACATTTTTATTTACCAAAAAAAATAATTAAAATTAAAAATAAAATTAAAAAACTTGAACCTTCGCGCTATCAAGCCTTACAACATTAGTGTAATTTTTTTATAGATTAATATAATGAGATGACAGGAAAATCAAATTTTATAGCTAATGCTATGCTGTGGGTTTGGTTAATTCTCGAAATCAAAATATGAATATTTATATTCATATTATAGCTTTCTATCCAAAAGACTCATTAAAAGATAGTGATTTAGAAAAATTTTAAAAAGGAGATATTATTAAGGTTCAGGATAGATTTTTAATAATTGAAACAGAAGTTAACGAAAGTAAAGTTAAACTTATTAAGGCATTAAATAAATTAAATAATAAATTTGTACTTTTTTAATTAATATATTTTATTAATATAAATAAATATATAAATGAAAAAATTAGGTTGTAGCATTTGATATATGCATACTTAACCTTGACGAAGAAGATCTTTCAAGATCTTTCTTATCTGTTATATTGATAGGTACTGCGTCTGATAATCCTGAAATTTGAACCGATAAAGTTATTCTAGATTTGAATGCAAGAGAATATATTGATAATCAAAATAATAGTTCTCTTTTGTTTAACTTATATCATTTTCCTGAAGATAGCCATTTATTACCAATTATAACAAAAATTCTGTGTGATATATTTTTATACGTTAGTGGTTATTTATCAATCATTAAAGACCTTTTTCTTATTAAAATGATACAAATCAATTTTATTAAATCACCTTATTCAACAACTAATAAACCTTCAAATTATGCTTGGAAGAAAAGACAAGATGATTCCTCTACTCAATCATCAAATCTAACAGCTGCTAAAATAGTGAAATCACTTTCAACAAAATCTAATAAAAAATGAAAAAATCAAGCACCAAATTTACTTCAAATGCAAAAAATACCAAAACTCGCTTCTTTAACTTTATCTAAAATTAAAACAGAAGATAATCCTCAAAATGAAATTCAACCAATTGATATAAATGAGGATATAGTTAAACAAGAACAAGAGACTGAAGAGGTTTAAGAAAGTAATGAAATGCAACAGCAAATAAAAAAGAAACGAAAATACAATATTTGTCAAACTAAAAAATAATATTTTATTCTTATTTGTATTAGTCAAATAAATTTTTTTTGTTAAAAATAAAACTTATGTTAATTATTATTTATAATACGAATTTTTTTATTAAATGCTTTAATTTTTTAAGAATACGGTAATAAAATTATAAACAGAAATGATCATCATTCATAGTTTGATAGAATTTATTGTTCAAATTATTTAATTATAATTATTGTTAAATAAATAAAAATAAAATAGTAAATTAAAAATAATAGTTAAAAATAGACAAAAAAAAAGAAAACAAAAGTTTAAAAATCATGTACCTTACTCAAGCCATCCTAAATCAAAAAAAAAATAGACAAATTATCTAATAATAAAAAATTTATAAATCACTCAAGTCAAATAAAAAAAATGTTTCACAAAATTAAATCATACATCTCACTTTATTGTGATTATTAAGATTATCAAGAAAATTTCTTTGTAATTTTTTTTGATACTGCTTATTAAA